TTTTCTGTTGAAAACATTAGACTTACAGTTCAAATAAGTACTGTAGATTAGTTGATACTGAAATCTTGAAATGCCATATAGTGCTTCCTATTGTATGCAGATTTCAGATGTTTATACTATATATAGCATCAGGAGGAAAAAGTACAAAGTAAAACTCCACTCATCAAAATTAACAAAGCACTGAACAACACCAATCCACCGGAGACAACAAACAAGGCATGCACTGATAGCATGCATATAAAGGTTGCATTTTTGACACTGAATAATACACACGTGTTGTCATATAAAGGAGCCATCCAGGATGGTGCAGAAAAGCTAGGTATTTGAGGAAGATTAAGAGGCAGACTTGGAACTTTTGGTAGAGGCACATTTGGAAGATTGTTGGTAATTGTCCTGCATAGAAAAATAAATAGCATAGCAACATAAATCCGAATGAGGAACCATGTGTAATAATTAAAAATCTATACAAATGTATTTATCTAAATTTAAGTTGCAATGAAATAAGAAAGTATGAAAACTATTTAGATATATTTTATGTACATGTAGGTAATAAATCTGTAGAATTGTCCAAAAACAGTTAGTTTTACCCATAATCTTAAAGTACAACTGTAAAAAAAGCACAACAAAAATCATTTTTTTTTACTTAATATTAAAGAAATCTGTGAATATTGTCATTTTTAGAACTGATATAGAGAGATTTTAAATTCTTAAATTCTATTTTTTCTCATTTCAATAGAAGCACCTTATGCCTTTATAAGACTGAAAAATAAAATAACATAACATTGCCAAATGGCACAGGAGCATTATCTCCTGTGAATATTGGCATTACAGTGTAACACATCAAAAGGTTTAACAGAAAACAACACACAAAAGTTAAAAATGATTAATTGTTTCACCTCTTTAGGAAATTATTGTTCTTGCTTTCCTAAATAATGGTATGGGCACTAATGAATATGGAAAGAACAGTTGAACAGTACTGTGGTAGAATTAAGGAGAACTGCAAAGCATACAATTTTAGAGTTAAATGTTTATAAATGGCTTACTTGACTGGCTGCCATGTTTCCTGTTCAAATCCTCTGTGAATAGATTGTGCGATAGAAGACTCCATGAGATCAATGTAGCGGATAACCAGAGGAATGAAAATGTCCTGCAAATGCTTATGAAATGTTCCGTTACACAGGTAAGCTGCCAAAGGAAAAAAAAGGAATAAAAACATTAAACTCAATTGGAATGCATAGCAGCTGGATGGGGGTTAATTCTATTCACTTAAGACATGCGGCAATAGAATAAGAGTAACAGCAAGATCTAATTTTAGCACCAACAATACTGTTACCCTTTAATACAACTGGGGGGACTATAGTAAGAAGTATAAAGAACCTTTCTCAAAGCTATAAGAGCAGTGTCTACAGTTGGAACTTAAAGGGGAACTGCAGTTCCAATTTCTGAGATCGGTTATTAAATCTTGGTAAGAAAATAATGTAATAGAAAAAAAAATTACAAATTTCGAATTAAGCACAAAATCGTTAACTTTGTGAAAGAACTATAAGTTGCCATGGTGTCGCAAACTTCGAAATCATGCACCAAGCATTCAAGTTCCCACGATTTGCGACATGATTCAGCCCTTCTTGCCCACGAGTTCTTCTAGTCACTGGTCTCTGTAATAACTAATGTAATTTGATGTATGAGCGAATAAATACAAGTTGTTCAGTGGACATTTCACCACAGAAATGTTCTTAAGTGTTCTGCAAGCAGTTAATAAGTAAGTGGTATTTTTCAGCACAACCGTGTTGAAATCAAAAACAATATTTCTATTGGATTTAATGAGATCTATTCACAAGCTTGCTTTTTTACAATGTCACAGAGCTGCACACGGACGTTTTGTTGCCTCATTCTGAATTGCAGAACATGGCGGTGCGCATACCTGGAAATGTGGTCTATTTTGTGGTGTAAATTGGAGGTTTTACAAGTTACTGTGTGCATTTTACTTTTTATTGTTGTTTGAAATACACCCATCAAAACTGATTCTTTCTAACCCCAAGATATGACAATAGCATTACAGTTCCTCTTTAAACCCACAAGCACCCTTTGTTTTTATACCATATGTTAACTAAATTGACAAATGGGATGCATTGAGCAAGGCAGATCATATAATTTCTTACAGAGTGTGACATTATTTTACATATCATGCCAAAGTGGCAGCTCTAAAGAGTCAAAGTAATAAAGCATCAATTACTTTTTGGAGTTATTAATTGTCTTTGGGACTGCACAAATTATACATTCAACTTCATTTAACATTCAATATAATGCATAAAACGGAATCTTCAAAAAAATGAAACAGTATTGTAGTAGTTGTGTCACATGCCAGGACTTTTAGGACACGGTTGCTGGGTTTGGTTGGGCTTTGTGAGTAGTGATGTGTGCTTCCTTATGAAAATAAAGGTTTGATCTCAGGTGGTGGTAGCTATAGCATCCAGCTCTCATCAGAAGGCATCCCCCATCTCAACTTCCACCACCCCTTCCACCACGTATAAGGAGCTGTCCCTTCACAGTCTTGTTGTTAGAGAACGAGAGCTGTGAGTGTGACTTTCATCACCATTCATTTGTTTTTAAGTGATTTTTTGGTGTAAGGTTTTGTTACTTTCCCTCTGATTAACCATGGTATTTTGAGCACAACTAACCTTAATTGCCTAAATATTGCCTCAGGACTCTCTAAAGTGTCATGTTTCATCACAATGCATTCCAAAATTTAAAATGTAATTTATGCTTTTCTTTCTTATGTCAAAGAATACCTAGCTAATACCTGCATTACACACGGAGAGAACCTTACATGCCTACTGTATGTAATCATTAAGATACTAACTTGTTTTCTATAATATACAGAATGGTATCTAAAATGATAAACTACTGACAACAGTAGACAATGTGCCTTTGAGGAAGACAAAATAAAGAGGACTCTTGATGACAGACCTTGTAATTTCCTAAGAGTCCATGCAGTTCACATTCAATGCAAAGCCAAGAATGAAGTGAATTAGAGTATGTTTATTCAGAAGGACACTCCACAAATGCTAATCCTGCCTTTATGTAACTCTGAAAACTAATATTTTATGTAAATATTGAAAAGATTATAAAAAGCTAGAAGAGCAATGCATCACTACATGTTTATATCTCATGAACAGGTGTCTGTTTTGTTTGCAGTCTTTATTATACATTTAACAATTCTGTAAAATTTCAGAAGTTCCTGAAATTCAGCAGTTCATTCGATTAATTCATATTTAAAGCCTTAATATACACCTGAAATGAGCTCAATGGGGCCATAATTAAAAACAGAATGTTTTTTATCTCCAAAACTAAAATACAACAATGTTAATGGTTTGAAAATACCACATTTATCAACTCTGTGCACCTAAAAGCTTTAATTGTTGATATAAATGACAACAAGAATTTAAGGAAAAAAGACAAAAATTGGGATCTTTCCCATAATGGAGCACTGTGAACTTTTTGAATATTTCATAATCAACACATAAAAAAACACATAAAATATTATTTACACATGATTTGTAGACATACATCATGGCACTTCTAGTCTGAAATGAGTTACTTTAAAAAATAGTTTAAAACCAATACAGAATAGCAAATAACCTTTAGAATCAAATCTACAAAGTTAAGAGACAATTATTTTAGTAAAACAATGCTCTCAGCGTGAAAATTAAAATGCCTACTTGATAAATGTAGAGGTACCATAATAATTGTTAGCAGAAGATTTAATTTTACAAATAGATAAAAGGTACAAATACGTGAGTTTTCAGTGACTGTATAACTGATAATTCATGATAATTAGAAGATACTTGATGTGAAAAACAATAAAGGTTTAAAATAGCAGCTTCCAGGTGTCAAGGAGAAGGAGAATGATATGAATGAGAAAGACACCATTATAAGCAACAGAAAGAAAAACACTGGATATGGTAAACTTTTGGAGAAGTTAATAAATCAGAAATTAATTATCAGAGGAGCAATGAAGAAAAATGAAGCATGTAGCACACCTATGGCAAGAAACCCTAAAAAAAGAGATGTGTCTCATAATGGATTATCAAGAGTACACAACAATCATACGTAACAGCAAAAATAAAACCAGATGTGAAAGAGAAATTGAGAAACTGGGACACCAATCTCAGAAGACATTCATGACTACAGATCTACAGTGCCTAGAATAAAATTGAACTTCAAAGATAAAAATGGAAATGTCATAGTTTTGCTATGATAGTCATTTTTTAATGAAAAAAAGTTTTATGTAAGGATCCAATAGGACATTTATAGTAAATAATTCCATAGCTCTAAAACCAAAAAATGATATATGAATTAAACAAACAATGAATAATTAATGTACAGTGTATGGGATGTGAAAAAGTAAGAAACCAGTAGTTTCATTAGCTCAGTTAAGAGAATAATTAGAATCAGGTGTTTAAATAATTATGTAGATCTTGGTGGCTGAGTTTGGATGGCCCCATCTGATTAGAAATGTAGTGACTTTAGAAGAATCTATGGCTACTTCATTTCTTAAATGTTAATTTACTTCACTGACACTGTTATCCAATGCAAGTCCAGAATCCAGAGAACTAACCAGTACTCCACACAATTGCAGCTATGATTGTGTAAAATTACACAATGCAAAATCACCAAAATAATATAAATATGGATGTTCAAATAAATCGAATAGCTGTTGATAAAGTATGTACAATATAAATTAAAGTTTGGAAAACAACATCTAAATTTAAGGCAGCAAGGTCTATTGCTTCATAAAGTTGTAAAGTTACAGATGAAACTAAGAAGATAGGCTTGAATTTCAAACCCATTTCCAAATCACAAAGTTATTGTTTTTACAACAGCTGAATATTGTCCTTTCTTTTATTTTCATCCATTTTGTTGCCTGTCAGCTCATTTTGTAAAAATGTGAAGTTAATTTAGGATCTGATTTTTTGCCGTGGATTTATTGAGAAAGACAAATGAAAATATGCTGGAAGACATTAGTGTTGAGATACTCCCTGTGGGATTTTCACCTTTTCATTTCCTAATGAGTTTGTTCTGATAATGAGCGGTGACTTTAGCAGTCACTCTGGGCTCTATTATGACTAATTTAACTCCACTTCACTCTCCCTGTTAATTATTAACACTAGCCTTTTTATCCTCCTGAGGTGGTATCTTGTTTTTACAACTTTTTAATGTCCTTAATATATATGTGCATACATATATACTGTGCATTTATACAGTAAATTAGAAACAAAAAAAATCTAGAAACACATTTAATTACAATCTCTAGTTTGTGGTAAGCCACACTCACCATTACTAGGAGTATTCACAAATAACTTGTAAACACAGGCTTTAAATATCTCTGTTAATTAAAGAATACAGTAAGTGTAGAGCATGACTCACCAATGGTGTGATCACTGCTGCTGGCTGTAGAACTTAGCTTTACATGTAACAGCTAAGCTTTGCCCAATATATTTTTTATTTACCGTATTATAAACTAATCCTGATATGAGCTCTTTGAATTCTAATTCCAATGAATATACAGTACTACAAAACTAAGACCTCAGTCAGACATATAATTTCAAACATTATTAGTTTTTGCAGAACATTATGCATGCAAACTTTCATACATTTAATTGATATTACATATTTGTTGTGCACATAAGTGAAAGTAAATACAGTATGTTAATATTTTCAATCTGTTATATTCGTCTTCACATCAATAGAATGACTGCAGTTCACTTTTAGGTATATCTCACATCTTCAAAGATGTTCTATCACTGATTATTCTGATTGACACATATTTTCAAGATAAGGAGTGAAACCCTGTTTGATCCCCAGAACTCTCTAGCATATTTATATTCTTAAGAAAATCCCTTCTGTTTAAGTGTTGTGCTTTTCAACAAAGGGTACTCTGTTAAAGACCTATCGTATTTCAGGCTCATTTCTTGCCATGGCCTACAAAGGCGCTCTAAAAAATTAAGTCACAATTAAGTCCTTGAACTAAAACAAACTTCTAGCACCTGAACAATCTGGTATTCTGCCAACATACAGCACAATAAAACTGCACTTATAGGCCTGGATGACATTCCTGGTTTCTTTTAAGCTGTTCACATGTAATTAAACGCATTTGAAATAGCAAAGCAGGTTTTTTTTTTAAATATAGCGGTGACTCAGCTACGCTACTTGGAAATAAAGGCATAAATACACTCTGCATGCTACTGCAGGGTGATACAATGTATACAATCACAATTACTACACAAATAGGCCAATTATAAATAGTCAAAGGAATCAATAAGAGACCATATTAAGGTAGCATATTTCTGTTACTTAAAAGCATAAGAAAGGTTACAAAATGAGAGGTGGCCATTTGGTCCGGGTAGCCTATTATAGTTAGTAGCTACTGTAGTTGATCTAAGGATTTCATCCAGTCACTTCTTGAAAGAAGCCAGGGTAGTACAGTAGCTTCTACAAAAAAAGCCTTTCAAACTAAACATCTAATTTATTTACATCAGATGTATTAATTGCTACAAGTTGTACTGATTGTTAATTCATTTGATAAACTGATAAATTAAAGAAAGCAATGTTCTTCCAAACAATGATTTAAAATCCATTGTTAACTCAATACAACAAAGAGAAACATTTCAAGCTACTAAATTCTGGTGTCCTACTTCACTGTCAAATTCTGTATATTGTATATAACATTAAAATCAATGTGACAATTACTTGTCAGGCAAAAAAAAAAACTTTTCAAGCAGGACAAAAGCTCACTTGATCTTGATCATCCAAATCAATATGGACCTTGAAAATGGGCCTTCCAATTTTTCTGGTTGCTTTTTAAATTTTAAACAGGAAGTTTCAACAGGGGAAAACAGGCTTTAAAAATGTGCAATATGCAGCACACTTTTTAAAAAACTGAATCCCTATCTGTGTTGGTAATCCGAATTATTATTTTCTCTAAAAGTGTATTTAAAGTACTTAAATCTACTCAAATTTGTTGGCCTCAAATGCTAAAAACCACATTTACACATAGATAGTAACACAATTTTGTGTTTATGGAGAGGTGAAAGACCCTGTTTCCATCCATCCATATTCTAATCCACTAATCCAGTACAGGGTCATGGGGGAAGCTGGAGCATATCCCTATCAAGCAACAGGCATAAAGCCAGATCTGCCTCGGAGGGGATGCTAGTCCATCGACAGACACAGGCATGCACACACTCACACTAAGGATAATTTTTACAGAAGCCAATTCACCTATCAGCATGTCTTTGGACTGTGGGAGGAAACCGGAGCACCCAGAAGGAGCCCATGCAAACACAGAGAGAACATACAAACTCCACGCAGATAGCACCCAGGAATTGAACCCATGCCATAGTGCTGCAAGGCAGCAATGTTATAAAGCTAAAGCTATGGAAAAAAAAATATTGATCATCTGTATAATACAGTTTTCACATTAAAAGCAACAATATCTACCAATTCATTTGTGAACTGAAAACGTGATTATGTAATTAACGCATCATCTACTGATTAATTGTAAAATATTCCTGCATAATGAATAACCAACCACTCCCTTTTGCCCCTAAACATTCTCATAATATCTTTCTGTTCTCGTTACCCTCATTTTCCTGTTGTCTCTTTAATTGCCCAACACACATGAAAAGGGATCCACAACTGAAAGGTTTTTTTTCTATTTTATTCTGTTGGACACAAAATTAAGCTTTGCTTGTTTTACTAACCTGCTTCCTTTACAACTCCTTTAACTTAAGCATGACACACATTTAAGGAAATACAGGGTTATTCAAAAAATTTAAAAAACATAAAAATACACAGTATGTCCATCAAAACAAAAGCTTTTTTTTACCCCATTCATTAAACCATTGTCAGGATAAATAACATGAAAGTCATGTTATATTGGTAAGTTAAAAGTGTTGGAAAAACAACCTAACTAGCAAGTAGACAATAAAGGTTAGTATGCATATAAAAGTCTCCAAGCCTGATGACGGAGCTGATTGTAGACTGCTTTGTGGTAATGGCTTGTGGAATTATAATTAACACAGCAGAAAGGCAAAAAGCCAACAATCTCCTCTCAGTAGCATATTATTTTAAGACAAGAGTTTGTAAAAAGACAGATTTTTTTTCTGAAGTTTATATAAAACAAAGAAAACAGATCTGACTTTTATTTATGCAGTGATGGTCACAACCAGCCATGTAAATGTGATTTGAAAACTGTGAAAGGGTATTACCATTTAAAAATCAATAAACAGCATGTTACATTAATACAGTGGTGCACTGTCATCCTAATTGTTTAATGGAACTGGTATGTAACCATACCAAACTATACCAAAATCCCTGATAATTTCACCAAACATTCAGAATTCTAATAAGAACATGAGAACATATGAAACATTACAAGAGATGGCTAATAGGTCGGAGAATCTCATTCAGAGGGTTCAATCTTAGACAACATAGTATAAATTGTGTATACAACTGGCAAAATCTGACATAACAGAAATGAAAGATTAAAAACTATTATTATTCTTTTTTCAATTGCTTAAAAAGTCTGAAAAAAAATAAGTGCTACAGAAAAACAGCTGTCCGGTATGGGGAAAAGGTTTTACACCACAATAAAGCACCATCTGAAGGCAAAATAGGACATAAGATAGCTCAACCAAATACCTCAAGAGCTCGACTGCAATTAAAGTGGAAACCACAATATAAATTAGGCAACAAAATAAGTAACATCACAATAAAAAATACAATTTTAAATAAATTATGTTATAGAAAACGTGCTGAAGACTCAATATAAAACATACTGTAAATTAAGGCAGTGCTCTCGAGTATTATTGCTGTATTTTGCAAATGATCAATAGTATTGAAAACAGGCACGTTTAAGAGACAGATTTAAAAGGGATAGATTACAGTAACAAATGCAAACAGTAAAAACAATGGAAATATCAAATCTTACATAAACATGGAATAGAGGCCAGCAAGTAATTGCATAGATGATGCAGCACAATCCCACCAGGTTTTGCTCTTTGTTTCCTTGTCCAGCTCCTGACAAAGATTTATCTTTATCTTGTTTCAGGATTAGAAAAAAAGAAATGATCATTCTATAGGTAAAAACTACAGCCCTTTTCTCCTGACAACAACCTTAACTATCTTAGTCAAGGTAACTCGTACCCATATTGCCTATATTAATTTACAGGTTAATTACAGGTGGTATGCAATTGAATGCATTTCCTCAGACTGCAAAATTGTTTGTGGTTTGAAAATAGGGAATACAGATAAGAGATTAATGCTCAGGCTGGTTCTCAACCTGTGGCCTGCAACGTCCGACTCCTTTATAATAAATTACATTTGTTTGCAGTCGATTAAAACAATAGGTAGAACTCACAGCTCCACTAAGAGTGTGTTCTAGTCACGTAAAACCGTTTCTGAACAGATTCACTGGTGATCAGATTAATTTTCATTAATCTTTAATTTCAATAAAGTGCTGCACGTAGGCTATAATGCACGTCACTAGAACACACTTTCATATTGCCTTCACCGACATACGTCTGAGTGCAAAGAATAGCCCGCTCACAGCAGGGTTGCCTAGCCTAGTAGCCTGCTAGTTTGTATAAAAAAGGAAAGAAAAATTGATAAGTTTGTTGTGAGGTGAGGTGAAAAATGACATGGGCCAGAGGAAGAAAATGTCAACCAAACAAATAATAATAATAATAGCTTACACTTATATAGCGCTTTTCTGGACACTCCACTCAAAGCGCTCAACAGGTAATGGGGACTTCCCTCCACCAACACCAATTTGCAGCATCCATCTGGATGATGCGACGGCAGCCATAGTGCGCCAGAATGCTCACCACACATCAGCTATCAGTGGGGAGGAGAGCAGAGTAATGAAGCCAGTTCATAGATGGGGATTATTAGGAGGCCATGATTGGTAAGGGCCAATGGGAAATTTGGCCAGGACACTGGGCGCTTGCAAAATGTACCATGTAAAAATACCTTTTGATACTACTCACAAGAACTTTGACAAGCAATACCCATCTGATTCAAGTGACAGGTCTCTCAAGATTACTAATCTGCTATTGCCGAGCGGAAAATCATGCGAGCTACTTTTAAAGCATCCCAGGCGGTGACGCTAGCCATGTTCACAATTTCATGGCTACTCACTAAACATTGTAAACCATTCAGTGATGGTGAACTAGTAAAGAACTGTTTTCTTGAATCACAATGTCTCTTTGAGGACTTGAGCAACAAGAGCGAGATAATTTGCAGGATTAAAAGGTTTACAGCTAAGCAATGACAGCTACGCGACGAATTGCAGAAATGTCTGAAAACTTGACAGCACAGCTCTGAGTGTAGCTTCAGACAAATCTATGGATATTAGGGACGTGGCTCAGCTTTGCATTTGGGTCAGATGTGTGAATTCGGAAACGTTTTAAATTACTGAAGATTTACTGTCATTGAAATCACTCTGTGAACGAACTAGGGGTGAGGACATTCACAGAGCAATCAGTGAAGCTTGCAAAGACATGACTATACCGTCATCCTCCGTGGTCTCCGTCACAACTGATGGTGCACCTTCAATGGCTGGTAAACACAAGGGACTTGTCGCTGAAATGAGAAAGGACTCTTCTGACTTGTTAGCCTTTCACTGCATTGTGCACCAGCAACCCAAAGGATACCTTACAAGGGTTATGGACACTTCATCCAAGCATGGCCACTAATGCACTACCATTTTGTGACATTACTGAAAGAAATGAATGCTGCCTATGGAGACATCATTCTGCACAGCGAAGTCCGATGGCTAAGCCTGGGCAAGGTCCTTAACAGATTTCTCACATCACTTCTAAAGATTGACCACATTCTCAATGATAATGGCGAGGGAGAGAGATTTCCAGAGTTGAAAGACAAGCAATGGAAAACTAATCTGGCATTTCTTACTGACCTCATGGCTCATCTGAACAGGCTGAACCTGCAATTGCAAGGTGAAGGGAAACATGTCGATGACTTGTTGTGCTGCTTTGAAAGTTTCAAAATGAAGCTAGAACTGCATGCTACACAATTGAAAGAGTGTGATTTAACTCATTTACCACTGTTGAATGCGACATGTGAGGAGGTTAAATTTGCCGGACATTTTTTCAGAGAACCATTCACTTTCCCTGTGGAAAAAATGAAGGAATTGGCTGAAACTTTCAATTTGCCCCACCACGTACTTGAGGACAAACTAATGCACATGCTGGAGGGAAGTCCTATGCCACCCAACTCTTGTCTTCCATTCCAGAATTGTAGCAAACCATTCCAGAATTTATGACTATTAAGTGCAAAAATATTGTTCATATTTGCATCGACATACATTTGTGGATGTACCTTCTCTGCAATGTGCCGCATCAAGTCACACTTCCATGCATGTTTGAGAAACTTTCACCTGGAATCTCAACTTCATTGATCAGTCACACAATTAGAGCCTGACTACGTGAATTTGGTTTCCTTCAGGCAGCATCAAGTATCCCATTAATGTGAGTACTATACTGTCAGAGTTAAGAATGTTATCATTATCCCTCCTCTTAAGGGCGCTCCGACCCTTTCGTATTTTAGTTAATTATGTGGATCTGCCTCCTGTTTTGTCTGTTATTATTTAAGCTTGGTGCTCTCGCTATTCTTGACTCAGCACGGGAGATGGACACCCAGAAACCCACCTACCAGTGGGTCCAGGAGAGACCCTACAGTATAGGCTTCATCACAGCGTCCTGACCATCTGAGACCGGGGCTCGGAGCACCTGGCCTCGTTACCCTGGTTTAACTCTTTGTTCCTGTTCCGGATCCCGTTCTGGATTTTAATCTTCGTATATCTTGGATGGTTTTCCCATTACCTGGACAATGGACTGTGCCCTGGAATTCCCCCTTTAACTGTTTGGACTTGTTTGCCTGCGCCACGCCCCCCGAGCACCCTTTGCAAGCAAAGTGCTTTTGAAGTTACACAGCTGATGAAAGACTTCCATCCGATACATCCTGTTTCTCAAGAAACTTTGTGTACTACACCATGACTTTTCCAACCTCTCTCTTATATATATACAAACACATGGTCAATAGCTATTACGCACGAAGATAAGGTAGGCCTAGTAGTGTTTAATATATGCGGCCTGCGAGACTTGCTTTTAGCCATGGTTGCGGTAGACAAATGCAGAATATTACAATCAGGGTTTTAAAATATAAATAACTACAGATATAATTAACTACATTAAATACAGAACCACGGAATTTAAAGAGGCATGTTGAAACATCATTTAAATCTTTTAGCCAGCATGAGAAAGCATAACAAAATCAAACAGAATATTAGCATACATAGCTAAAATTAAATAATTTAAATCAAGGGATTTAAAAATTGCAATGCACTAAAAAGCCCTAATTTAGAACACTGTGCACAGGTTTGTTCACCACATTAAATATACTATATTGCTGCTCTGAGAAACAAGACACAGTACATTACTGGGCTTTAAGGAATGTCCTACTCTGGCGGGTACCTTTATAGTCTTGAACAGAGAAGACTACGAGGATACCTGATACAGGTATAAAAAATGCTCAAATGAATCACAAAGATTATCTAAAGATTACAGAATCAACAGTAACACACAAATCAGAACATACAATTGAAAACTATGTAAAAGTGCTTTTAAAACTGAGAACAGGAGGCACCTCTTTACAAAAATATGCCAGTTTGGAAAGAGCTACCTAGCCATGCTGATGAAGCAGATATCTTGACTTATTTCAAGAAATGACTGGATTAGATCCTTGGATCTATTAGTTACTACCAAAAGAGCTAGATAGGCTGAAAGGCCTCCTCTCATATGGAAGAGTTCTTATGTCCTTAATTATCAGCAATTAAAAGTGGTCCAAGGTTTCACAACAATATTTTGCAGACACAACAACTATAATTCTATACAGGTGCACATCAATAAGATTAAATGGAATAACAACATTTTTTTATTATTATTATTGAAAAGCCTATAATACTATTGCTATCTGCAGAGGATAGGATATTTTCTGCCCTTATAAAAGCCATTGATTGACACAAATGTTTATTTATCGATTTCAGTGTAAGCAAATTAAGGAAAAGAAGAGCTTTGACAGTATTGACTGCCATCATGGTAGTACAACTACCATGCTATTTATGAACTGATTAAAAGACAAAAGAGATGGTAGCAGTTGTTACAACCATGGCAAAACAGTTGTTAAATTTCATGAATAATTCCCACAGTAATTTGTTTGTATAGCAATACTGAATGTCACTTTATGTGTCCTAGATTTATTTCAAGCACAAATACATGACAGGGATTATTTGACAGATAACTCAATATGGTGACAAGTGAACACCTCAAGCCAAAGGCAAAGTTATTAAATGTCAAACAAAGCTAGTAGAAGAATCATTTCCCTGACATATTACTGCTTGCATTTGACATTAATTACAGTGATTTAGCTGTTTTAACTCTTGACTTTGGTGTTAATTATTGTAATTCCAGGGGAAGACTAAAGAGTGTTCACCTTTTACTAACAAGCTTTGTTTTCTGTTGTGGCATGAAAGTTAATTAGCTCAATTATTATTGAAAAAAAAAATCTCACAAAGTTCTGGACACATTTCAGGGATATACACAATGAAAAAGCAACTTACGGTCGAGTCTCAGGAAGTTATTGAGGAGCTGGAAGAGTGGAAAGCTATCCCAGGAGTCTTGAGGTTGGGCTTCAAGACAGGCATCCATGTCAACAGCATATAGGGACCAGAATATTTCAGCATGCTCTGCCATTAATTCTGGCCACCAAGCAAAGGCCTAGGAGAAACAATAATTATATCAGACATATTAAGTGCTGAACAGCATGGATAAACCCCCACAAAACATATGGTTCAGAATAGTTTTGAAAATAATAACTCTATTGCTAACAGCATGTTAGCAATAGCATCTCATTCTAACTCCTTAATGTTAGTCTTTCTCAGAAAGGCTCTCGTTCAGCAGACAAGCTGGTAAAAGCCTGTTTATCTGCTTTTGGTTCAAGTGCAGCCAGGTGTTATAGTACTTACTGTATTTTTCAAGTGAGATCAGGTCACTTGGGAGGAAATCCAAATCACCATATTACTATGAATATGACAGAACAAACAATTCCCTCTTGAAGTACATTTTTGATCCCATTTCCATGATTATGTAAATAGAGGAGTTTCTTTTGTGAATATCTAAATTGGACAGTTAGTGTAAAATTAAAGTTTTTCAAATTAGCAGGTGACATCACACCTGAAGAAGGCTCCACGGCTGAAACTTTGTGTTTTCTTTCTTCTCTTTTCAGCATGGAATAAACCTATTACTTGTTCCTTTGCAGCCTATGCATGCTGACGCAGCTACCCACCTGAACTATATAATCACATACTGTATACTGTATACCTTAAAATGAAGTTGACAAAAGCACTTATTTACAGCAAACCTAAGAGGTCAAAATAAAAAGAATGTATTCATTTTAATCACAGGGATGATTAATAAACAAACTAAGCCTAACCTCAATACATTAATAATTATTTTGCTTAACTTAAAGACTTACTGTTTAGAAAAAAATATGTGTGAATGAACTAAGAATAAAGGTTTTGAAGCGATCTTAAAAATATAAGTTATTTGTAACTAACTGTAATTTTCCAAAATCCTCAAGTTGTTGCAAATATATTCGCCAGGAGAAAAAAAAATAAATTATTCAAAATTACTATAATGAATATATGATGAAAATCTAATGGGCAAAAATCAAGTTTCAATCCTCCATTGAAAAAAAAAACACAAAAAGAAGGTGTTTGCAGTTGTCGTAATAACATACAGTACATACAGAAAGGTTACAAATACTTTTCCCACTGAATACTTGAAGAAGCCTCATGATAACTTTTTTATAGTCAAGT